TTAATGTTTGCTGCTTGGTTCTAAAAGGCCACTGTCCAATCAGATTCATTTAGTTCACAAAAATAGATAGGAAATCAAGTCAGAAGGCTAAAGACTGTTGGTTTTTATGCGAAGACTGGATCAGAAACAGCAGCTTTTGCTTGTCTAAAATGGGGGTAGAGAAGGGAGGGGGATGGAGGTAGAAGCAGAATTATACCATGTTTTAGCCCATAATGCATGTATAACTTACTAAAACTTAAGAATGCACATTGATTACATTTAATGACCAAAACCCATCCTTTTGTTCGTAGAAAGATATTTCTGTCTTTTAAAACAAGTTCAATACAGTGAAATCCAAATTTGTGGATAAAGAACCCGCATATTTCTGATCATTTCCAGTCTGTCTCGCCATCACAATCCAATCTTTCCTATGGATTCATCTGTGCAACTAACAATTACTATAATTTCCTGAGATTGCAAACGTTATGCATTCAGTTAAATGTTGAGATAGATCACTAGGAAGATACGAAGAGGACGAAAGAAGACAAGAAAGGGCATATCTGAGCTTTAGTATTTGTCTTTTACTATGATTTGTTTCATATGCAGACAGAACCTGTGCCTTTGTCAATGTTCTAACTATTCTGCGCATCTCTAGTGATAACACTGTGTCTCCACGTAGTTTAAATCAGCCCACTGAGTTTACAGCCCTTAGAAAAACGAACTTCTAACAGCTGGTATTTCCCAACTTTAACCAAAGCACAGCTGGCATGCAGTTATAGTAATGAAGCTTTTTCAATGTACAGGAATAGCAGATATAAGTATTCCAGTAAAAAGTTTTAGATTTTTAGTTTTATTTCATTTTAAATTACAAAATATTTCTATCTGTTCTATGGAAACATTGGTATAAACAAAGCAGGTGTGAGGTGTGGAGAAAAACCTTTGGAGTAGTGCTTGAGTATGTAACTATATATGGCCTAAAGAAGGCTTGTTTACTCCCTAAGGCACGGAAAGAATTTAGTACCTTAAAACTACTAGAAATTACTCTTACTTACGGAGTAAGAAAATAGTCTAGTTATAATTGAGGTCAGATCGTGTTTTCATGAACTAATGACCTCTTTGATAACAACTCAAATGTGTTGCAAGGTGGTTTAGTAAAAATGCATGTTACATCATTTATGAGGTTCTGCAATGACTTGCTGTCTTACTTTTGTGTAACTATATCAAATTTCACGAGTTCGGGTTTTTACCTCATCTGTGTTTGAAAGATTGGATAGATTTTTGGGTTTGGACAGGATTTAGAACAGTTGTTTTTCTTAAAAAGGACTCTCAAGATGTATGAAATCCTGCTTCCTACTTTACAATTGTGGGGATGCTTTTGGTTTGTTTGGATTCCCTCATTTCTCTTGGTCAAATTTTCTGTTCTAGGACTTGAATCTCAGAAAGCATGGATGAGTCTTATCCGTGCTTTGTCTCTAACTTCTACTTCCAGTATACTTTGCTGACACTCAATTGCTATCACTTGCATCAAACTGCTGTCTGGAAATGAACTGTGGACCTTTGTTCTTTGCATGCAAGCACCGCTCCAGCCACGGCTGAGTGACGGTTTTGTGGAAGTAGTGATGCAGAACAGAACTGTTTACTCCCCAAGTCTCTACCCATTCTGCCTGTGGATAAGGACTTTTTCTTCATAGGCTTCTCCGTAAAGCCAGGTGATGGACAGCATTTATGCAGACAGTTGAAAGGCTTTGATTGCTTACTGATTAGAGGAAAATACTGCAAGAATGACTTCTATAAAGAAGGCAGATGAGGAATGCTCTTCTTGTCATGAACTGGAAGAGAAACAAGAACATAATGAACTAAGCAATGACAAAGTCACCTCTGAAATTTGTTTGCATATGTATAAGAGAAAGGCATTGAGTTAGTAACACGACAGGATGCATCAAAATATCCAAACACTGGATAGTACGCTGTATCAAAAGTGTTGAGAACTTTCATCTTTATTTTCTGGGCTTTATCCAACTCTTGCTTTAGCTTCTGGTGATGACCACCCTTTGAACAAAGTAGTGGATAATCTCAGGGCTGATCTAGCGTGCCATTGAATAGTTTCTGGATTTTTATTTGGTTTAAAAATTATGAAAAAAAAGGGGAGGGAGGGGAACCCAGATCAATAATAATAAAGACTCATAAGCAATCGAGGTTCCTACTATACTATGATATAATTCTCTAGTTGTGTTCTTAGTTCTTCTATTGCTTTCATTTCTGATCAAGCAGAACACTCTAAAGATGAATTTAAGCTACACTCTGTCCCTTTGAGGGGTTTGTGGCCTAAAACCGGAGCATCCTTTCTACTGGGATACACAGAAAGTCAGGTCAACGTTGAATAACGTATAACCAGAGTGCGATAGCTCAAGGTAACTGCCCGTCTTCTCCCCTGCACTGCCCTGTTTTGCACACACAAATTCCCATCTTACAGCAACTTCAGCTCCTGCTCTTCTTATTGCAATAGAGTCAAAAACACTGGAAGAAACCTGTATCCCCTAATTTCCTTTAAATTTGTATTAAATAGAGAAATACATATTATTTATATTTTCTACAGAAATACATATGTATATATGCAAACATAAATACATACATATATATATATTCTATTTATCTGCTCTTTTTACTGTGTTGCTTGTTTGGTTCGTGTTTGACCATAACCAGGATTATTAACAACTGGCATTAATTGTAAGTAATTACATTTATTCTAAGATATCTTGACATTATTAACATTATTAACATTATTATTGATTACACCTGTTTCTCTACAAAGCATTTAATAGGAAAAATACATATTCCCTTCCTATCATTCAAAGAGATGTGGAGAACCAACCCTTGTCTATCTTTTCCACAAGAATAGCTCCTTTGGAAAAAGGTAAGTAGTCTTTGTGGTCATGTTGAAATATGCTGTTAAATACCAAGAGCTGCTAGTACGTTTTTAAGGTGCTGATACAGCTTCCTAATCAGGAAGCTACTACTATTTTATACATTGAAATACTACACTCCAAGGTAATAGTGACTATTTAGCACCTGCATCTGCCATAAAGTTCATATTTGGGTTTCTTTTAAACAAAGATCAGATAAAAACTTTAGCTTCTCCAGTGTCACTTGATTTTCCATAGCTTTTAAACATTTTTATTTTGTGCATAAACCAATTTTAAAGTACTCTGAAAACTCTTACAGATATTAATGTACTCCAAATAGAAAATTAGCCAGTGAAGCAAGAATTAGTATAGTTATACTGAAAAATCACCTCTGGGTCACTACAGCACAATTTGCTTTTTGCAAAATATGATGTATTTACAAATTATAAAATACTTGCCCAGTGTCCATATTTTTAATTTTTTTAAAAAATAGTACATAAAGGCTGAAAATGGGAAAAATTGCCACAATTTTAGTTTCAAAGCAAAATGATGAAAGAATTCAGTGCACTTACAAATAAATCCAAGTGTGCAAGCCTGCAGCCAGTCAGGAAAAGCGAATTGCAAACATGACATCTCTGTGCAAACAATACTTATTATTGACTCGAGTCTACTTAAATTGTCCCCCTCTAAGCTCTTCAGAGTTAAAGAACAGGGAGTACAAAAAAAGATCTCAGATGTTCAGTCCAGCTAAGACAGTCGTAAAAGCTATGTACTCCTCTTGAAATAGGAGAAGGAAAACAGCTGGAGCTAGGTCATCAGATAGTTAAAATTGTTATGGTGCCGATAAACCAGTTGACAACTTACTGGAGTCAATTAGTCAGGCTGTAAATATTTTCTCACAGTGACTAAGGTGTTTGTTTAGACACAGCAAAAGACCCTGAATTTCCCAAATCAAGGCAGCATTCCATGTTTCTGTTAATTTTAATGTACTAAAATTAATTTCAAGATAGGAGTGCTTAATTTTTATTTGGCTGCATGTAAAACTTGTGTGCTTCAGACTCCCACCAGTGTCCATTACACTTGCAACAAAGTTGGCTTGGGTTTGATTTGATTAGGCGTAGCTTTCCTGATTACGCTCTTAAGAAGGATTATGGAGATGAAGGTGAATATACAGCAAAATAATAGATGACACTGAAGTACGAGGAAGAAATGTCAAATGTGACAAATGAACTAAAATATTGCTACTTTTAAACTCTGAATATGCTGACAGTACTTTGCCTCTGGAAAAAAGTTCTAGGGAGTTTGCTACAGGCAGTTCAGTACAATCAGCTGATAAAATGCAGTTTGCTCCCTAACTAGCTGTCAAGTCTTGCTTCCAGGAAGTTCCCTGGAGCTGGAAGCTTGCATTTAGCTTGATGGGTAGCTGCACCTTTCTGTCTATTCAGCTTTAGACCTTGAGAACTCCCTGACATCTCAGTCCTGCACTTCTAGATGCTGCCCAGAAATTGCTTGTTATTAGTCTGGCTGTACTTCCATGGTCACTCAAAAAAAAGTTAAAAGTATCATAACTAACCAGGTAAAGTACATAAACAATAGTTTCTATTTCTTTTTTTTATGCCTTGTTCTTTATTATCTCAAACTAAAGGAGGTGACATGAAAGAAAATCAGAATTCTTCATTCATCTTTTCTATGAAAGGGTTATGAAAGCATGATGGGATTGCAGCTCCCTTTCATGGGATTTCTTAATGTTATTTTGGGTCAATTTCAAGTGCTGCAAATCAGTGCAGCTCCTAACCTTTCAGTGAAACCATGTCAAATTATACCACTTCAGAATCAGGCATATTTTAGCAATCCTTACAGTATTTTGGAAAAATAATCCTGTTATTGATGTTTTATATCAATGTAAACATTCAATTGTTTGTGACAGAATTAGAACAAATGCACATTCTTTTCTTTTGACAATTGAACAAAATAATTTAACAAGAACATTTATAGTAGAATCAATGTAAGAAATATTAAGAAAGTATTATTAGAACCCTGTGCAGTTTCTATCTTTTTGATTTGTCCAGAGTTTGTTTCCAGATGATGTCCAATATAAATATTCCCTGTTTGAAAATTGAGAGCACTTGTGGATAGACAAATCCTTTGAAGTCCCTTCAACCCTAGACGACCTTCAGTGATTCTTTGAAACCTTGAGCTGTTCTTCAGTTGGACTGATGGTCATTTCGAAGATGCATTGCAGTAGGTTCAAAAAACTGGAAGAAAAGTTCAGAAAGAAGTTTAAGCTATGGGTTGTTAGCAATGAAGTTAACCAACAAAACCACCTGATTTCTAACTGTCTCAGCAGGCTTAAAATAAAACCGCATTACAAGGGAGAATCCTCTTAGAATTTGATGTTTGTTACCTGGATCATCAAAGCTCAGCTGTAAGTATGTATGGCAGTTGACTCTTTTCTCCTGAACTTCATTTTTCCAGTGTTTAAACTGAAACATGATGTAACAATACACAATGCAAGCTTTATGAACATTAACGTACTGAAGCTAAATACTTTTCCAGTTCTTGTTCCTTCTCTGTTCTTGTTTCTTCCCACTTGACCCAAGCAACACTAGTATCTCATCTTCTCCTTCAACCTGCTATGTAACACTTTTTCTGCCATCATACCATGTTCTCTGTGTCCAAATACCCAGGACTCAACACATTTCACACATTCAGTGACTTTATACCTTCCTCTGTTCCCAAACATAAAAGCTGGCCTCTGCTTGTTTTTCTGTAGTTTATCATCAAAACTTTAACATCATATCCTTCTTTAGTTTGATTCACTCCATCATTCCCTGTTTCATTACATTAAAAACTAATATATTATATATAAAAATTAAGACAGGTTACTTTAGAAAGATGATGTGTAAGAAGATGTAAAAGCAGCACAAGGCAGACAAGTACTTGTATTCTTCTCATTAAAACGGTGCTTTTTGCATTGTAAATCAAGCAAATTTTAAAATAAACTAAGCATGCAATTCACCTACCAAGGTCACTATCATAAATTAGTATTCAGCTCAAGGCCTTAGCAAGATTTAAAACCAAAACCAAAGCCAAAACATGCTGCATGACTTTTTCTCATTCGTCAGACAGGTTTGTTCTCCTTTCAAGAACTTCTCTATTTGGCTAATCTAGACAAATGTGTGTTGCTTGTTCCTGTATAGAGCTTTTTGTGGATGGCAGATATTACTGTACTCTACTGCAGAAACATACCTGTTCCATTTTTCATGTGTAAATCATGAGGATGTCACATCTTCAAACCTTCCATCTAAATTAATTACAAACTGACCTTACATAGTGAGGGATTAAGTCCTCTTAATTTTAATGCTTTATTTTTTCATATTATAAATGGCACAGTGATACTGCTATAGTTAAGCATCTGTCAGCATTACAGTTATAAAACTTTTTGAGAGAAAGGTGGGCTTATCATAAAAGTATCAGGATTTTCTGTGGTCTAAAAGAGGGGGAAGAAAAAGGTACTTCAAGGAGCACTTTGAAAAGTACCCAAGCCCCAAGTTTCTTATAAATGTTATCAGATACAATACAGAAGAATAACTTAATTTCTGTAACATATGGCCCATTACTTAAGCCATAAGAAAACTGCTTAGTAGTGCACAGAAATGCTACCCAACAGCTTCGGAGAGAGCTCCTCGTTTCATGCACCTTTGTGTCATTACATTAACAAGGTTGCTCGTTCTAGCTGATGCTCTGAATCCAGAACATGACGTAAAAAAAGATTCTTGCACTTCCTTCAAAGTCAAAGGAAGAGTCTGGCCTGAAGATAACGACATGAGTTGAAAGCTACCTTCGATTCCAGTGCTAATGGCCTGCTTTTACAAACAGATTTATGAAATGCTTCTTGATTTATTCCATATGCACCATCCAAAGACACAGCAGGTATCTGTTCAGTTTAGGAATCTCCACAATAGCCGACTTAGGTGAATGAGGTTCTGCACTCCAAATTACACTAACGAAAATTCTAGAAAGGTGCACTACAAGAACTATTGCAGCGGAAATTTGGTTATTTCAATGAACTGATTAGAATATTTTTTCCATTTTGTTTTTTTAAACAAAAGCCAAATGGATTCGAAGATGTAACTCAGAAAAGCTAGTATACCTGAAATACTGCACAAAATGCACTTTCTAAATGAAATTAAATTTCTTAACTGAGTAATACTGTACCATAGAATGGTTTGGGTTGGAAGGGACCTTAAAGATCATCCACTTCCAACGCCGCTGCCATGGCAAGGGACACTTTCCACTAGATTAGGTGGATGGGGCATCCACAGCTTCTCTGGGCAACCTGTTCCAGTGCTTCATCACCCTCAGAGCGAAGAATTTCTGCCTTAGATCTGATTGAAATCTTTCCTCTTTCAGTTTAAATCCATTGCCCCTTGTCCTATCACTACACACTCTTGTCAAAAGTCCCTCTCCAGCTTTCCTGTAGGCCCCCTTTAGATACTGAAGGCTGCCAGATGGTCTCTTCAGAGCCTTCTCTTCTCCAGGCTGAACAACCTCAACTCTCTCAGCCTATCTGCACAGGAGAAGTGCTCCAGCCCTCAGATCATCTTCATGGTCCTCCTCTGGACCAGTATTTAATCTTTTGGGCTGGAGCCTGTGATTGAGTTGAACTGGCCTTGAAGCATGCCATGCTTTGCTAACCTAACACTTGTATCTCCTCTGCTTCAAGGGAAAGTCTTACATATTTTTAATAGATTTTAAAGCAAAACCAATCCTGGTTTTCCTTGAAAGTAAAGTGATAAACTGGTAAAGTGATAAAACATATTGAATTAGAAACCTAGCAATGTATATCACAATTATTATTAGTTACAACTGAGTACACAAACAGGAAAATGTAATTTATAAAGAAGAGCTTAATCAACATTTTACGTAATTGTTTACATTCTTCATAATTCAAAACACCCTAGCTGTCAATAGAGTTCTGTTTTCTAAATGTTGCTGCTGGATTTCTGTCATTTTATAAGGCTACTACAGAACGTATTTTCTGAGTTTCTGAGCAGGTTTGTGAGCTTGCAATAGTGGCATTTAAAAATATTTATAGTCAGCATTATGTCCTAGGCTTTAGAAATATTTTAAAAGCCTAGTTCTAATATTACTATTAATATACAGGGTTCAGTGTAAATATTTCTTCACTACCAAGGAAAATGGCAACTATGTTCCAAACATTTCTAGATCCAAAGTGTGAATGACTGAATGAAATCACTGGAGTTACGGCAAGCTACACAAGCTGAGGAACTGGCCTCTAAACAGAAGCTGTAATGATTATACATGAGCTTTTTTGATATTTCCCTTCTCTAAGTAATATGCACACATAGTCAATATTCTATAATAGCAGGATCAGTAACTCTGGCAGAAATGCTAAATTTAGCATTGGGCAGATTTTGAGTGGCCAGAAGTTAGCAGCTGTGACCTCTTGAGAAAGACATCTGCAGAAACATTTGTAAGAGATGGTGTCTCCTATCTTCCTGCCCTCCTGATTTCATATAAGCTGCTTGGCAGCACGCTTCATCTTTGAGAGATAGCATTTTCCAGATCATACTAGTCGCAAAAATCAGCAAAATTAGAGGCTAATAGCCTCTCCTTCAAGCAGAGGCATGATGCCACCATCAGCTGATCAGCACTGTCTTGTTACTTTGAACTGCAACATCTCTTGGCTGTCCATGAGACTTCCCTTGGCCTGCTTTACCTCTAATCTAGGAAATAAAGGTACAATCTGCTCACCACTCGTACCAGATTGCCAGCTTCTGTTTTTATTGATGTAGGGACTTTGTGCATTCAGTACTATCTAAATACCATCATTATCTCTCTAGTTGTCCTAAATAAAGCTAAATGTACCAATCATATTGACTGCAATGTACAGCAAGAGTCAAAAACTCTATGGCAACAAGGCAAATGAATATATTTTTAACTGAGAAAACGGGACACCATTAGCTGTACTTAGGCAAAAGGGAAAAATTAGAGAATTAAAGCATTAAAGACTTAAAGTTTAATGACTACTTGAAAATTATAAGCTAATCACCGACTGATTATTCTAGACATGCTCAATTTGCAGGGCACATCTCTTCTGGACCTCATGGATGTCTGAAGACATGATCACTCTGTCTGATTCAAACAAACTTAAGCAAGGAATTTAGCAGTTCATGTGCATAAAACAGTTCAGCTATACAAAGAAACAGGAAAAATCAGTCTTAAAACGTATAAAAACAGGGACTCTTGATTCACAAACTGTATTCTGCAGTTGTCGATTCTTCACAATATACATAAATGTTCAGAATGAGTAACAAACTTTTTGGGGAGACTGTTATCTTGTTACCTCACTGAGCAAACATTAGGAGATATTAAAGTTCTTATCTCCTTCACTACATTGCTTCAACAGATAACTCTACCATTCCTTACTGCAGATAGGAAGAGTAAGAAATGGAAGATTTAAGATTAGTTTGTTTGCTGAGAATGGCGTCATACGTTGTCTTACACAATGTACTCTGCTCAGTGCAACATGGCATAGAGATAAGTGTTTACATTTCTCATCTTCAAACAGCCTTTCTGCATCATACTGAGTGCCACTACTGCTGGAAGCCACAGCTGATTTTTTAGAGAAAGCCGTTATCAGTAACTTTCCTCAGAAAGGACTGACTAACTGGAGTGGCAAGAGTAAATGAGCAATTAAAATAATATTGGTCAAGTCAACATATTATTTATTGTAAGCAAGTATTTAGAAATTCTATTACTTACTTCCATAGTGTCTTTTGAAAGATAAACAACCCAGTATACCAGGTTGAATCCCGCAAATGCCACTGGAAAGAGGATCCTAGAATACTGATCTATTTTACTTGTGCCTCCAATAGGTGGTGGTGGTGGTGGTGGGGCTGGAGGAGGAACAGACACTGGTTGACACTGGGATGCACTATTTGATATTATGCTGGCTTCAGGAGACTGATCTGCCTGAGACGTTACAGAGTTTACTCGCTTCTTCAGGTTACAGTTGGAGTCAGAATGCTGTGGAAGAAAAAAGAGGGAAAAAAGGGAAAAAAAACGGTGATTTTTGGATACAGTCTTGGGTTTTGTGATTGTTAGGCTTCTCTACACCCTTCTGCTCAACCTCCTGATTTTATTGCTGCTTCTCTGCTATAAAGCAACCCTAAGGAAATCGCAAAAATAATCCAAATATACAGAGGTACATTTGTAGCCTAAAGCTTTGATGTAAAAACATAAAAGAATATGTGCTTTCCATATTTTTAACATGGTAATAAATAGAAGCTATAAGAGAAAGAAAAAGAAGAGATGGAGCTAAATGGAAAAGAAGAGAAGATAGTGGTGTATCTAAATTGCAACATATTGGTATGACTGAAGTTTACGTAGATATGAATCAAGTTTAAACAAAATAGCACACATGGGCTGGCTCAAGTGCAGTCTTCATGTGCAAGCCTGTTGATGAGTTTTGGTAGGCAGTGACTGAATGGAGTCGAGCTGTCACACTCTTGATAGTCCCCAAACCAGCTGCTTGTGAACTAGAAAACATCTGCACAAAAGGAAATGAACTAACTTTACAGGTGCTGAAGACGGGAATGCTAAATTGTCCTGTAGTTTCTTCTTAGGATGAAATTTCATTTTCAAATACATCTCATGATTGCCACAGCAGTTTCATGCATACAACTGAAGACAAATATCCTAACTGTAATGGGACTATTTTTATTTTCATTTATGGTAAAATCAAACAAAATTATTCCTGTATTTTGTGCAATATTCATAGCCAGGTCAAATTACTTTTCAGAAAGCTTTATGAAAGCTCTTAAAAATTTATGCAGGCCTCAGGAACGTTTAGAGTTTACCTCTTAGTTGTTAGGCTGACATGTGTATTCACTATGTACACGAGTTTTGTTTGTGTCCAAGTTGCCATTTTTTACTTTCACAAGAGTAGAAGTAATAGATTTCTTCCTTGCAGAAATGGCTTAGGAGTAGGATCTACCACAGGCTCTTAGCCTGCTCTAACAGGTGTCAGTTGCCCACTTTCACGGTAGTATCAAATGAGAGGAAATTTTCAAAGACCTGGCTACTACTGCCACTGCCCAGGACTGACATTAGCAATGTAGCTTCATGGCAGCAGCCGTCAGATTCGTCTGATGGCTGAGAAAATACAGAAGAATGCCTAGAGTGCCAAGTTGTTTTTTATTGTTTTGATACGAAGTACTCAAGTTTTCTGTTAACAGGTAGCAATAATAATACCTTAAAGTCTAACAAGCAATGCTACCATGCAGTGTTTTAGTTGAGCTTGAGTCTAAGGCTTCCTCAACAGACGACTGCAAAACTTATTTCCAGGTTATTGGTGAAAAACATTGTGCAGCAAAATCACACAACATATTCAGCTATTCTTGGGTTGGATAAGCAGCTTTTTTTGGTCAGCAGAACTAGATGACCGAATGAGTGAAGCTGATGAGGGAAGTCGTAGGCAATGTAAATCACTTACAATACAACAGCATATGCATCTATTGTAAAATGGAATAGTAACATTTGAATGGTTTTAAGGTAGCAAAATTCTGTTAGATATGCAATTTCCAAAGTCTTTCCTTGGGAGCGATTTAGTGACAATCATTCACTTAAACACAGCCCGCCGTCAGCGTTTTGGGGATTTATCTTGCAGGATTTCAATGCATGCAAACAGATTTTACTCAATCAGATAAATGAATGGGTTGTTAAAAGAAAAAGAAGCGTTTTCTGAAATACATTGCCTATACTTGTACTTGGGCCACAATTTCTAGATAAAAGACTAGCCTAACACACCTAGTATTTCATATATGACTTAAAATAGAGTTATAACAGGAATCACCCCTTTAGCAGTCAGTGTTACTGCCAGAGTATCAGAACAACTGACACTGCTACAACATGGTGCCAAGTTCTGCTCATGGATGAATGGACTGGCATCCAACTGAGATTAGGGAGAGATGGATTCCTCACAGATGATTTTAGTCAAAGTAAAAGCTAGAGAGAACATTTTATTGGGGAGGGGGGAAGGGTTTTCTCCTGTATATATCTCTCTTACCTATTAACTTTTCCTTCCCCCACATCCTATCAGCACTTCCAACTTGCCATTATCCCTCCTTCTTCTACTTTGCCATCTACACATTAAATGATTAGGATCATGTTTTGAATGGATATTGAATGGCATTCATATTCTGGGGCTGTGCCTATCTGGAACGCAGATGTTTGTTTTTGTATTTTCCAGTAACACAGCAAGCAACAGACAGATTTAAATGGGGGATGATCTACAGATGCATCTCAGAAACAGAAAGAGGGTTATCCATGTCCACTTGCGCTAATCATCATAATAATCCCACTCTAAAAACAGACTGACTGACAGAGCCTGGGCTGCTGCTTTCATTCAAGTTGCTATTCCGTTTTGCTTGTATGCCCTGCTTTAAACTGAATTCTAAAAGTCATAAGGTAGCTTGTTTTTCGCTTTACTGCAAGATAGCTTGACCTTTTGTGGAGAATGAGTGTTTCCTAAAAATATAAGTGCTAAGCTGAGTCTTAGCCTTTTTTATCTGCAATATTGGGGTATAAAGTGGATCAAATTCTGCTCTGGATCACTCAAGCATGAATCCGGAGTTATTGCACTGAGGTGATGGAATTAATAGGAGGCAGAACAGATGTAGCATACGGTCTGTGGATGATGTTCAGTACTGAACATATTTAGAATGTAGAGGTACTAAAATCATTGTGATCATCCAAATAGGCACTTGGAAAAGTATAATCTTAGTTATTATTTTATTTATAATATTTATTAAATCTCATTCCTATAGAAGGAGGATTATCTCAATTTGATTCCATCTCAAGTTGGAGACACGAAGATCTGGAATTAGTGAGTATGCTCAGAACTTGAGGAGCATGCTAACTTGATTATGCTTCCACTCTGGGGACAGTTTAGGTCCATTTCTATCAATAGAGTGATATTAATAACTTATAATTACCTGAAATAGCCTATTCCAATATTCTGGAAGGACCCGCGCATTTTACTGTCTCAGTAAAGCCATAGTTATTTAAAAGTCATGCTCTTCACTTGCTGAGGAGATGGTTTAGAGTTGATATAAATCATTAACAAAGCCCCAGAGTAGTTCTTTACACTGTCTTTAACACCCTCGTGTGCCCATCTGGCAAGTCAGGGTTGACACTATTTTTTTGTATGCTATTACCCACGATACGGAATTGTAAGTTCAAATTATCTCAGATGTGTAATGAAGATGTTTCTCAGTGTGGTAGCTGACTGCAGCTACTCACTTGCTGCCCCAGAACCGTAATTCATATTTTTCATTGGAATTCACTGCAAAACCAAGAGGAGGAGGCAGCGAGAGGAAACCATATAGTTTCTTATTACAGTTGAACTCTGAACAGCCGCAACAGTAATTTGTCTAATATATTTAGATTTAACTTTTCCTTTTGACAAAGAGTACCTACGATGACATCATGAAACTGTAGCAAAACAGAGAGAGAAAACAGGAATGAATAGCCTATTTCGCACAGTTCACACAGCCAAACATTTAAATAGTGAGTACTGTTTTACAAGAGGCAAGAGCAACAGCAAGAAGCCTCAGGCATGGCGCATGTGTCATAATGAAATAATGAATTTTGTTAAGTTACTGACTCCTGATTCAGAGTACTCTTGCGCTCATGTGGAATGTTAGTCCCATCAGGCAATTAAACTTGCCATTACGTGTGACTACCCAGTGACACAGAACAGATTACAAGATCCCTGTTTAATGTGAGATACCATAAAAACCGGGCTACACAAAGACTGGTATGTATATGGGCTAGTAAGGTATAGACTGGCTTCTATGAAGCTTTTGCAGCTCAGCCATCTGATCCCCTAGAAAGCTCACAAAGCAGTCTCATCTTGTCTATAAAGGTGCTGCTCTCTCGTAACTCCCATCAATATCACTAAAATTTGCTTATGCTCAGAATATCTCAGGAGGCTCACAGCAAATTGCTTGGCTTCCAGATTTAAAAAAATACAGCACATATAACCTTGGAGTAAACGGAATTATTTGTCTGCTTTTTCTGATTTTTATGTGGATGCTAACTGTGATTTATGAATGTGCTTTGTTCTTATGTTTCTTTTCCTCAAGAGATTTCTGTAATTCGTATTTGTAAAATTCTCTACTGTTCTCTGTTCCTTTGTACTGCAAATACGTATTCTTACTATCAGTTTAGTTTATGATCTAGCAGTAACATGACTATCTTATGTATGCATTCAGATACTGGCTAATTTTAAACAAATTAGTATTTCTGTATCCTTACTTCTCTCTCTTTTACTCACTTATGTCTCTTTTTTCTGCAGGCAATGCAGTAAAAAGAGGTTAGTGAGAATAAGCTTGAAAAGTTTAAACAAAAAGGGTTTTTTTCTCTTTTTCTTTATAATTTATGAACTTTGCTGATATCACAAAACACACAAACACCTGGAAACAAAAAAAAACCCAACCCTCTATGCCCAAAACTCAATGTCTGTACAAGGCAGAATACTAAATTAAATATGTAACATTCTTTTTCCCTGCCCTTCTCATTAGTAGATACAGTTTAAGTGACTTCAACCATTCATATTGTACACATAAAATCACATGCCAGTGAGTTAGCTCCCAAAGAGGGAGTTAAGCGTAGTTTAGCCTCTATGTTCAACAAGGTGATCTGTAAAAACTCCACTTAGCTACTGAACAGTCCATACACAGCACCTTGCAGCAGGAAAGTTCACCCCATTAAGTAAGATCTCCTTTTGGAGTAATTTAACTTACTTTATCTTGTTCTCACTGCCCCACTGCAAAAAAGGTACTGAGATTAAGACTTCAATATTGAACAAAAGTCTAAATATGATTCATCTTGAATTTTTCTATCTTGGTGTATGATACCAGCTACTTCTAAACCATTCTTACTGCCCTGCATTGGCCTTATTTAACTTGGGCAGAACCAAATAATCAGCATCTCCTTTCCTTGTTGGGGTGACGAAAGTCAATATAATTGAAAGTTGCTGTTTGTTTTTAATAGCCTACTTGATAATCTGCAATTGTGGAGGAGCAAGAAGGTCTCCCTAATTCGACTGAAGGTGCCATGTTCTCAGTCAAGATTTTAATGCGTATCGCTATTTCAAGGATGATCTTGTAAAGGGTTGTTAATAATCCAAGTAGAAGTGCTCTCTTTTCAGTTACTCTAGGATACTCATTAAACATATTTAATATATTTTGACGTAATTATAGAAAAGTAAATCCTCTATACTGAAGTGACATACGGCTGCTCTGCAGTTGGGCAGGGTTGTTAAAGAGCATGAGAGTCCTTTTCTGCTCAAGTCACTCTATTTTGCAACATGGGGACAAGGCTATTTGTAGGAAGAAGGCAGCTCTCGCAGCAGTATTTCACTGCACTGTGCTGTTTTCTGCTAAAACAGGTCTTCTAGAACATAACTGTAGTCAAGCTACCACTCTGTAACAATCTTTTGTCTTTTACATGTAGTCTCTCACATGGAAAGGATGTCTTTTGATCCATGGTGTGTACTCCCTGACCATGTTGCAGAGCATTACTTTGAATGGTGCACTCCAGACAGTATCTCCAATTCCTTTTCCTTTGCAACTTCCAGTATTGGGATATTCCTGGAAGCCATAATGATGGAACAACATGATTGATATAGAAAACACACATTTGAAATGGATTAAAAAGCTAAATGCCATAATGTTTTTATATATATGTGTATATATAACATTTGGTTTCGACGTGCTAGAACAAGCTTGGTCACCATATGAATAAAAACAGGTTTTTGTCAGAGTCCAGATGACTGCTCAGCTTGTTGCCATCGTATTTTGGAGTGGAACACCCATAGTTTTGCATTTCACACAGGGATTGCCTGCAGCTGACAAAGAGAGCAAGCCAAGTTCTGCTCTCAGTTAACTGAGGTAAATAGAGTGGCTTTCCTGGAGCCAGAACAGGCATGCTGGGCTGTCACCAGTTAACCGAGCACAGAGTCAGACCATCACCTCTCTTACTAAAACCAGTGTAGTCCAATGACTTGAGCAGAGTTTCTCGTACTTTCATTACTACAGTAGAGCAGACTTTGGTCTTCTGCCATCTTTCTTTTCTGAGTGTACAGGTTTTTTTGGTTACAATATAAAAACCTACGAGAAAAAGTTTTGTACATTTGAATAAAGCAAGATTTTAAATAAAATTAACTAGACTGAAGGAGGAAGGAGGCTTTTTGATAGTATTTTGAAAGACTTTTGATTTTTTTTTTCCCAGGAAACATAGTTAATTTGAAATTTAAAAAACCCTGAATACATTCTGTAAATATATTTATCTTGATGAGTTTAGGCCCTCACCCAAGCAGCAAAAGCTTCTAACTGGCTGTTTTGTAACTCCTTTGAATTTTCATTTATACCAAAACTGTCTCCCTGGGCTTCTCTTATGCAAAGTAGGAGAATGGGTGTCTTGTCATAAAGTACTTGTTCAGACAGCCTAAGGTTATTTCCATCGCAAGGTTCTTTAGCCACTCTTCAGGCAATTTCAGATAATAGATTAAAAACATAGAGTCTATGTTGTTACTCATAATGTCACTACTGCTAGTAGAGTTCCATTGGCAGTTGTATAGCAAGGAAAGTTTTCAAGTAAGTTCATCTCACTTTTTCACTTTTATTTTTACAAGTGAACACCCTAAAACTAAGTAAGCCTTCACAATCTTCAGAAATTTTCTCAATATAGTAATACCATCTGACTTCTATTAATGCAGAAGACAGTAAGCATTTTTGGCACACTGTTCCCTACTCTTCATCCTGTACCTGCCCTTTCATATAGCTACAATTGACAACTTTCATAGACTTAAAAATCACAAATAAACATACTAGCATTACAAGTAGATGAAAAACTTTACTCTCCTACCTTAAAGTGCAAAAAGAAATTTTTGTAAGTTGTAAGTACCCTTCATTTTTATGATCTCATTGATTTTGCTTTTTCTATTACTGCAGAGGTGGGTTCTCATAGAGAACTAGTCCTGTGAGAAAAACAGTGGTGGACTTAGAGGGCTTGAAAATTACTGTCTTGGATAATACGAGCTTTGAGAAAGACCAGGACAAGAGAATTTTGTGGCCACTGTGGGCTGTTTTAGAGACTGAGTTTAGCTTGGGACTTTGATGTTATGGAGTTTACTACTCTTCTAAATCTGTATGTCAGGTAGTTGTAAAAAATTTTCTTGAGGAAATGGCTGCGGTGTGCTTCCTATATGTTTATTTTATTCCTGGATGCTTATTTTGTGTTTGTTTTTACTTGGAAAAGCTAACTATTTATAAAATGAGGAAGATGTGTCTTCAGTTTGGCTTTGTGCTTGTTTGTCGCTGAAGCTCTTGGTAAGAAACTTGGGGTCTTTTAATTTCTTTTTCTTTTATTAATTTGTTCAACAGCAGTTTTTTAGTTTGTGCCTAGCTTGGTCTGCAATAACACAGAGGCCATGTAAATCTCACCCACAAGTACTGAAGGAGCCACAATCATCAGGAGTAAGTTGTAGTAAATCTGGGCGTATGCAGAGGGTTATTTTCTGCAACAGTTGTCTTCTAGAGATTGCGGGGGGCATGGCAGTGGCTTTGTAGCATCTGCTCTGAATTTGCCAGCAGCAGCACTTGCAGAGTAGGCCAAACTGTTTTCATATCACTCAGCAGGGACTTCAAAGAAAAAAAAATAGTTGTGCTTTTTTTTTTTCCTTCTTGAAAACCTCACTGTGATTAACTCAAACTTGAGTTACGGAAGTATGTGTAGGAAAGATCAGAGCTGTTGCTCTTCTTCATTAGGTAGCAGTTATCAATATTTTCCATGCTACATAAAGCCAAGTGATCTCTTTAGGTTTTTTTCTGATAGCTTGCCCTCAAAAAACAAGCCAACAAAAACATAAAAATGAAGCTTTAGTACATTTTACGGTTCCTTCCATCTTAACAGTATTTTTCTTATTTTACACTATTTACTGTTGCAGTGTTTTGCTCATTGAGTCCAGAGTACATTTTCATTCAAATATCATCATATTGGGGAAGGGAGAAGTATGTCCTGAACATTGGCAAATACATACTCTCTTTTCCCCTCTTTTTTTTTTTAAGTTTTAATTACAATTATATACGTTTACTAATTCAAATAAACATAGATATGAACGCTGCAAATATTGCCAAATCTAAATCAGCCTTTCTGCTGTCACTAAAATCAGTGAAAGATTCTGTGAACGTTTGCTTCCAAGCTCTTTTAAATTTTTTGGACAGTCTTTTGTATTTTCTTTATGTAACTGTGGTTTTAAAAAAAAACAAAAACAAAAGCAAAAAGCAACCAAAAAAACTGTGCTTCTGAGTTAAAATGTATAAAGATTTGCTTCTTTTTGCATTTATATATTTAGTGAAAATAAAATGCATTTCTTTATTATATTTTACAATGTCTTCCATTTTTTCAATATTAAAAAAATTGTAAGCAAAATATGACATGGCTTACAAGCAAAATGCTTCCCAATTGAAGTGAAAAACATTTGTCAATTAGCTCTGTTGAGGACCAGTAGCAAAATGCTGTGGAGCTTTGGTTTTGCTGTTGTAAGGAACTTATCAATTATTACCTTAATGGCTTAAATATACCTAAACATTCTAACTTTACTGCTGTTTATAAGCAAATGTGGGAAAATTACTATATGGTGGGTAAGGTGTTGCCCTGATACTCAGTCACTCTTAGCTTGATCTCCTTATTTAACTACAGACTCAAAGGTTTTGCAGAAGGTCGTTCAATTCTGTTATTCCTCTCAATATGGGAAGTGTGGTAGTAAAACTGAATTTGAAAACGGGAGGGCTATAGTGACAAATATATTAACGTATGTTGTGAGACAGCATTCATGATTTAGCCTCAGACGTAAGGAATAATATTTACGAGCAATTCTGACAATTTTTTTGATACTAGGAAGCCTTCCTGTCTTTTGTATATAATAAAATCTATCCTTATTCTTTACATTTATGTTTTTTCCCCAAGCTTCCACCAACACAGGTTTTTATGAAAGTAACAGATGCCAAGTTTATGTAAAGGCTAATTCCCCTTCTTCCAGATGACCCACTTATGGTATGTACCAGTGCACTACAGTGATCCCACAATCATCTGGCCAATGCACATGTTTATTCCGTTGTACAGCATCCCACAAATTCTGCACTTAACTGAGAGAACCACTGCTGCCCAACCACGCTGCCTACAGCACTGCTCAAGAGAAGTATTATGGGTAACAGTCTAATGGCTTTCCTTAAATATCTTACCAAATAGACATCTCTCTAGTAAACTGTATCTTAAATTTAATTAAACAGTATGAATAAATGAAGTCTTTTCATTTTCTGAAATAAGAACAATGTTTTGATAAATAGACATAATCTGGTTGCATAATCTGTTTCAGGTTAAGATCCCTTTAATATTGTTTTGCATTCACTACTTCATCTGCCTCTTCCTATATGATGCTTATTATCAGAAAAGCAAGCAATTACCGAGACAATCTCGTCCTCTGCCGGTACAGTTGCTGCTGATAGTGCTGCTGCCAGCGCTGCTGCCCTGGCTGCCTTCCTCATTGCTCTCTGAGTCTGAAGATTGGTAAAGTAGTTGACAGCTGCAAACTCAATAAGTGCAGAGAAGACAAAGGCAAAGCACACAGCTATGAACCAATCCATGGCGGTAGCATAGGACACCTTGGGCAAAGAATGGCGGGCGCTGATGCTTAAAGTGGTCATTGTTAGAACTGTAGTGATTCCTTGAAAACAAGGGAAAGAAAATGGGGGTGTTAGAATTTTGCTTCAACCCTGCTACTCTTAAATTCCTATACAGTAAAAAAATCTCAACTCCTCTTTGGTTTTAGCTATCATCCTATGTACCAGCTTACAAACAAGACTTCTAAGTATTTTGTATCCTATGTAAATCATGTATACCTGCTTCAACATCTAAAAGTTCTAAACTTCCTTAACACATTGAGCAGACTCAAAGTTGAGAGAACTACATACTACATGGTGCAGCTTCTTAGAACTGTGATAAACATGGGTATAACAAAATTCAGGCTCAAACTAAGACAAGACACTTTGAGGGGTTAGTAAGTGGAATATTTGGCAGAAATCTAGATTAACATACTGTTATTTCCCAACAGTGATCCTCTCTTTCTCCTGTTGTTGCAGAAGACAGATTATGGTTTACAGAAGCCTCACTGAATCAGTCGAATTCTGCGTTAAAATCAGTGGTAGGCTATCAACCAAATATTTCTAGGAATAAGAGTTTGGTTCTCTGTGCAGTTGTCTTTAATTACTCGATGCATTCTTGAAGATTCACTAAGACTATCTGGATTTAAAAGCACCCATAGTTACAAATATGGAAGGATAGAAAAGCCACTTCTCTAGAGCTGCTTGTCTATTTTCACACAACAAATGTGGTCATGTAGCTCATGGGCCCTATAGTGTTCTTCATGAGAACTCATGAATTTATTCTTTCTGTTTTGGAGTGTACAGCATTAATAACGTAGGAAATAATACACTTACTTCCCACTGTTGCCTGATAGAAGCAAAAGTGTAAGAGCAAACTCATTCATTAACATATAAGCCTCTGTGACTCATGTTTACTTATAATTATGCCTGCTAGAATGTGAAAACTGCAGGTACTTAAAGACAGTAAGGTGGAGAATACCCTCTTCTGCTCTTTTCTGCAGTTGGGAAAGGGTAGGTGGGAAAGTAAAAGATGTTAAAATGTCATGTTGTGATGATGAATCTATATGCTATGAATGATGCTCAGTGGAAAGGATGCAGTGTCATTGCACACTGCAGCATCGAGACAGGGTGACTTGATTATTTTCAGAGGTTTTTTGCAACTCTTTCACATGATGTAGCTTGCCAGCTCTTTGAGGTTAACTATATCCCAATGTCATTACTTCACATGTTTTAAAGAAATGCAAATAAAAATGCATAGAATCTCTACTTCTCCCAAATCTGCCGGACTCATTTTATAATATGAATACAAGTATGCTGAGATATATTTCAATTTCAAAGGTCCAGAATGAACTTTTCAATATGATGTGTGATTAGATTAGAATCTGTCCATGTGCTAGTTAGTAATAAAAATGATCTATT